TCCTGGTAAGGAAATAGAAATAAAATATTGTGAAGCATGTTAAATAAGCAACTGGTTACAAAGATGTACTTTCTCGATGGAAGGCTAAAGGGCATTATCATGATAATTTTCTAACTAATCATCTATTTTCAGGTTCAAATCTTAGATCTCATCTTATAAACAGAAAGAGGTTAATTTGAAACAGAACTACACATAGCACTCTCCATATATGTTGAAATATACTTAAATTTACTATTAATTATTAAGTATGGTTCCTACTGAAATGCAATGGGAAATAATGTTTTATTTTTAAATCACAACTTCTATTCAGTGAAAAATTGTGATGTTGCCTTCTTAAAAAAGCAAAAAGAGAGCTGTTCACTGCCATATATATTAATTTTTTATATATACAATAAAATATATATTAAATTTTTATTGTGATTTTTAAATATTATTTAATCACTTTACCTCTTGTTAAAACAGAAACAGAATTGAAAGTGGCCCAAACCTTAATTTTCTACCACAAACCAGAAGAAATAGTAGCACTTGGGACAAGACAGGCTGAAAATATGAACTCAAGTCCAGGATATAAAACAGTTCCCCAAAAGTTATATAGGACAGGAAAAATAAATCTATTTAATATGGGTAGATTTTCTATTCACGCTTCTCAAGATGATGGACAAATTTATGCATGTGGAGTCATATGTACCTTCTAAATAGTGCTCGTTATTCCTATCAATGTAATTTTGGATGGTCTCATTATCAGTATATATCAAATATTTTTTGTGAATTCCATTTAATAGTCAGCTGAAATGATACCTTGAAGTAATGAACTTTCTTGGTTAAAGGGGAACAAGTTTGATGATTCAGTAGTAGGCCAGTAGTAGAATCTTTTGACATCATTCATTGAAGTATTGTTTATGTGAAAAAGAATAAAATCAGTTACAAGTACTGAAGAGTCTGATTTTGCCAGCAGGTAGAAGTCAATGGAAATATTTGCAGAGTAATGTACTTACTCAGTGGCATATCAAGCCAAGCCTGCTCCCAAGGCAAACCCTGTGGGAGAGTGGGATGGGACATGATTCCAAAATTAATAGGCAGGGGGAATTCAGGTTCTGAGAGCAGGGTGGCACAGGGTATGGGTTATGAGAGTGGGGGTACAACAGGTGGGGAGGGGAGGTCTGAGAGTGGGATTGGGTGTAGGGTGCAGATTCTGAGAACTGGAGGAGAGGGGTAGAGGGAAGCATGGGTCTGAGAGTAGGGGCTGGGTGCGGGGGGGAGGAGGGGAGACATCTTAACCCAGCCAGGAATTTCTGGGTTAAGGTGTTAACCCAGCCATGCTGAGTTGTTGCTGGTGCATATCCTCTGCGTGCCCCAGCTCTATGGCTCTTGAGGCACCAGGAGCTGGGAACTATTTCAGAGTGCCTGGCGTGGAAATGTTGCTGGGGCAAGAACTCTGTGCAGGTGGGGGGCTATTCTGGTGCCAGGGTGGGTTTTGCTCTTGTCCACCCCTAGTAACACTACTGGTACTACTCAATGTGATTAAGACGTATTGACAACAAATGCATAATCTTTTTAGGACTTTTACCTATTTCGTCTTTTCTCATGTCCTTCATTTTATCCACAGTGAGATTCTTCTCCTCCAGTTTTGTGAGGACTGATGGTGGAAGCACTGAGAATTGCCGCAAAGGGCTAACCCAGCCCCACAGACGCTTGTCGATAACTTTGCTGAGATTCAGTAGCCGGTAGGTCATTGCAGGCCATCGTTTCCGAAGAGCAATCTCAAAAAGGGCTCGAACAATACGAGCTGCATTCTAGATAGCAAAACATGGAGTAAGGGAAGAATTTTATAGTCAGTCAAACACTTTTCACATGATATACCAAATGTGCCAGGGCTCAGATTCAGCAGACTGTAACAAAATAAAAACATTAAAACTGTCCTCATCTTTATCCAGTGGAATCATGAAAATACAATTATACAATTATCTAAGGTACAGTCCAGGTGTGCCACAAGCTTCCTGTTCCAGGTTTTGATCACAGTCAAATTAGCACTAAGTGGTTTTATACTTGCCAAGTCACAATGACTTTCCAACTAAATTGACTCCAATTAAAAAAAAATATTCTTGACTTGCAACAGTTGCAAACTCCAGTTGGAATTTCAAAATTAAGCTGTACTCTTTCAAGCTGGTTCCCAGGTAATAATCTACCCACCCTATGTTTATTTATATGGTGATGGGATGAATGTTTTGCAGGCCAATTTCTGCCCTCTTACACTCCTGCAAGTGAGTTGCTTGTGAAGTAGGATTGTTTGGGTGTAACTGGGGGAAGAATTTGGTTTTCTAATTGAGAAACTAGTGAGGGACATAGAACTGGTAGGAACTTTCTGGTCACCAAATTCAGTTCTCTGCTATTACCAGCAATCAAGTTGTGAAACCCCTTTCATAAATTTACCAAGCTCCATCTTAAAACTACTTAGGGTTTTTGTCCCCACTGTTGCCACAGATATAGCAATTATATTAACCACTCATTTAAAAGAATAGGATCCTTCTCTCAGTTTTTTTGACTCTTGAATTCTAAAGGTACTTTGACACTAAAGCAATCATCAACAGCCCTTCTACTGGAAAAGAAAGAACTTTCTATCAGAGTCAATGTTTAGAAAAGAAGAGCACTTTCAAAACTTCTGTTTCTCACTTACTGTCCTTCTGAATGTTAAATGAATGTATTTATATATTATGCTTTTGAGCATTGGACAATGCCACCTGCTTTAAGATACTAAAATTGAGACAGACAATTAATTAAGAAAAAAAGATTGAGACAACATCCTTAAAAAGAAGATCTTCTGTGAGCACTACAATATTTATGGAGTGCATTATGATCTCCAAATACTTAATTTAACTCCATATGTGCTATAAAATCTGAACACCTGGAAAGATGTTAAGGTGGCATGAAAATCTGACTACAAAATATGCATACACTTTTGAATATTTAACCCTCATAGTTGTCATTCTGTGAATCAGGACTTCTTTTATTTTTCCCCCAAACTGGTCTGTGAAGATGTGGAAGAAAAATAATAATTATCAACCTGGTACATTCCATTGGCTAAGATGCATACACCTCAGCTGGCTGAAACATAAATCTTTATAACCTACCACATATTATTAATATTGTTAAATATCTCGGACTCTCCGTGATTGTCCCTCCTATGCGTTTAGCTCTTTCAGGGTCCACAGACCAAAGAGATATCTAATTTTGGGATGTTAAGAGGCACTCCTGACTTCCTGCACAATGAAGAAACAGCACTCTGTTCTAGATTTTTAATGTTGTTAGATCCCATGTGATGATCAAACTTCCCATCAAGCTGATATCCAGTGGGCACCGAAATAAGTCATTAAGCAAATGTGTGATCTGCTTTGCCATGCTATAGGTGTTATCTCAGTTTAAATTATACATAATGGGCTATTACAGGGGTTGTCAACTGGAGGTGCACATACCCCTGGGGGTACTTGGAAAGGTGCTACAGGGTATGCGCAGGCGGGCGGGGACAGAGTGCTGTCACCCACCACTCCATGCCGTTGCCTCCCAGGAGCAGGGCTGGGAAGGAGGCAAGGGCAGTGGCTCCCCTCTGCGGGCCCCACAGGCACTGCCTGGCTGGACACACAGCGGGAAGCCACCATCCACCCCCCCACACTGCTGCCGCGTAAAAGCCCCCCCTCCATGTTTGGGTGCCACCGCCACCCCACACCTGCTCTGCGTCTTGTCACTGCCACCCCCCTACCCAGCTTTGCATCTGGCTGCTGCCATGAGAAGGGGTATACTCCTTAAAAAAGGTTGAAAACCTTTGGCTATTACAATGTAAAAGGAAGTTCTAGCTTAAATATGAAAGCAATGGGCTCCTAAGTTAGGTATTTTAAAAGTCTTTTCCACATAAAAAGAATATACCATCCTAAAGTATCAAAAAGTAGAGCTCAGATTTTCAAGCCAGTTTGCATCAAAACGTACAGAGATATGAAATTCAAGGCCAACATACCTAATGTACGGACAGTGACACAGCAACTAAGTTTGGCACCTGGGGAAAGCCAGCAACAGCAACCCACCTTCGCCCTGCATACAGATCCAGAGGGCACATGCTCCCATGCTTGCCAGGGAGTGTACGCAGTGGCAGGGGGCGCGCTTCCCCCCCCCCT